TCACAAAACGGTGGACATCCTTAAAGAGAGTCGGCCAATAAAAACCCGCTTGCAAAACCTTCGCGGATGTCTTGGCCGAAGCAAAATGACCCCCATAATCTGATATACCAAGTGCATGTGGAGGATGACCCTTGAGGCTATGTCGGCGACTTTAGGCCGGTTATGCATCACGAAGTGGAGAGGTCCCATGAGGAGGTTGAGTTCGGTGATTGAGACGACTTGTGGATCTTCTCGTGCGAGTAATGCGCAGGCCATGAACTGCTGGAGATAGCGAATCGCGGGGTGTCGGATCATGAGGGTTTCGAGTTCCCATGGGCGGAAGGTGCCCGCTGCGATTTTCATCCAGAAAGTTCGGGCTTTGGTGACTGTGATCTTCGGAATCGCTGCGTTGGTGCTCATCTCGACGCCTAGAATTTCTGCAAGTTGTTCCACTCGGAGATAGAATTGCCGCCCTTCGAGTCTGAAGCCAAAGTAACCTTCTCGAGGGTTACCATTCGTCGGGATGAAGCATTTGAAGGTGCAAGCAAATTCTGTTGTCAGTCTTCGGTAAGTCTGGGGGTTGGCTTGGAAGAGGCGATCCCAGCCCGCGAGTTGAAAAATATCCCTGATTCTCTCGTAGAGTTGCCTTGGTAGAATGCTGTGGTGCACAAACTTTGAAGCTCTGATTCCTCTGTTCTGGACTCGATATAGGACGAGTGCTTCCTCGTCGGATTGGGGTTGGAATGGAGTTGGTTCCACAAAAGGTGTATCGGCGTTGATGGGAGCCGTATCTACAAGACTTGAGAAAGACATTCCTTGCGGCTTGAAGTCATGGAGGATAGGTATTTTGTCCGAAATGTATTTGCGCGCTTTGCCCCAACGACTTCTGTAATCCATCTGAAATAACTGAAAAATATTAAGAATTCGTCAGAGAAAACGGGCGGGCCGCCTGCTTTTCCGGGCGGTCGCTCGTTTTCGTGAATTGAAACGATTGATTCCAGGCGACCGCTCGGGCGGTCGCTCAAAACGGGACGGGCGGTCCGCCTGAAGAGGCGAGCGACCGCTCGTTTTTCATCTGCAAGTGGGCGACCGCTCGAAAAACCGAGCGGTCCGTCCATTTTTTCTGTGAAAATTTTTTTATTTTTTATTTTTTTTCTGACCCGATTTCGAGGAAATGCTGCATAAACATGAAGTCCGATAAGATTATCAACATTTAAGCACGCCAAAACATCATATAATAATACCGACAATCCAAGAAGAGCAGCACGAGACGAGAGTTTTAAACACATGAAAACATCGTTCTACGGAAAATGTTAAACGTTCTATCCTAACGATGATCGAATCAAGGGGCCGTTCTCTTGCTCCCCTTGCTGGCCCCGGATGTAGA